ACCACATGCCAGCCAGCCGCGCCCCCTGGTGGGCTGAGCTGGCCACACACACACACACACACACACACATACAATAAATGTTAAAATAAAAAAAAAAAGATTTTTATCTTAGTGTAAGGTTTATATTTACTGTGTATTTTGTTAAGAGCATTACAACTTTTCTGAACAGAGAGGAGAATATTAGAATCAAAATATTTGGGATTTGTATCAGTGACTTTTAAAACCCCACACTTAGACAAGGTAGGGACCTGGCAAAAGGAATAAAGATGTCACAAAAGCCAATTTCCCCAGGGAAGGCATCGACCAGTCGTACCAGCTTCTCAGGGACTCCCTGGACCTCTACCTGGCCATGTACCCGGACCAAGTGCAGCTTCTGCTCCTCCAAGCCAGACTCTACTTCCACCTGGGAATCTGGCCAGAGAAGGTAATTATTTTATTTTGATGCTTTTTCACTCACCTTAGAGAGTTGTAGACCGAAGGGCACTTGTTTTGAGCTAGCCCTGTATTGATCAGGGGAATGAGCACCAGTTTTCCTAATCTTGTCCCACCAGTTATACTTTTCCCGTCCCTTGGTAGCCTGAGACATTGGTTCTGTGATGAGGAGTTGCCCCTTCTGTTTGCGATTGTCCCTCAGTACCCAGACGCACAGAGCCAGCTCCTGCCACTGCTGCACTGGGCTCTGAGCTTCGGCTTCCCTGAGTCACCTTCATTCTGCGAGGAAGATAAAACTAAATGTTAGCACCTAAGTGGCCATAAATAAATACCCTGTTCACTGCGGAGAAGCTAGGTGTTTGATCTGCTCAGGTCTTCCATCTGACCTTGGTAGGGATCAGACGAGCCTTTATAATTGCGGGGTTTCCTTACCGTTCCCTGTGAATGTTCCTGGGGCCGTGGGCCCCCTTTGACCCACAGCAGACCCTGTGAGAATGCCACAGCGCTGGAGCAGAGCACGCCTCTGGCACACCTCGTGTGGGTTTGGGGGCTTCATTGTGTTTGACAGTGCGGGAGGCAGCAGCCCAGGCCCACCACACTTGCTCTTCCCGGAGATACGTTAATAAGCTGTCTAGGGCAACATGCTGGGGAAACCAGATTCTGAGCTCGCACTGGGGTGTCGCCGCGGATTTATTCTCTGAGTTATAGAAAGGGGTAGACTCTGCCGACAGGAAGTAGGTACTGTAAATGCCTCTAGATTGCTTAGATCTACAGTGTCTGTTTAGTTCAGTCTGAAGATGTGAAGTGGGTCTAAGGAAGGCCATGTGGCAGGAAGCGCAGGCTTCTGTCCTAGATGCTGACCTCAGCCAAGGCGTGGAAGGGGGCAGTAGGAGAGTTCTGGGGAAATTGCTCTTCTGGTTCTTCACACACCAGTTGTCCATCATTAGTCTTCAGTGTTTCCATTGTTTTTTGTTTTTTCTTTTTGTTTTGTTTTTGGGTGTTTTTTTTTTTTTTTTTTTTTTTTTTTTTTTTTTTTTTTTTTTTTTCAGAACCGGGGATTGAACTCTCCATTGTTTTTTTGGTGGAACTGGGGATTGAACTCAGGCTCTTGAGCTTGCCAGGGAAGCGCTTATTCTACTGAGCCATCTCTCCAGCCCTAGTGTTTCTTATTTTATTCATTTACTTCTGATTCCTGGATGTACATTTTTTTTTTTTTTTTTTTTATTCCTGGATATACTTAACTAATTCCTGTCACTTTGCACTTTTGCTTTGTTAAGGAATTTCATGGTCACTTATGGGGTGCAGAGTGAAGATTATTTGGACAAATCCCATAGTTGAATGGCAAGTCAGCTGTCGGTGCTGTTGACAGCCTCTTTCCTGAGGGCCAGATCTGTGGGGGCTCTGGCGTCCTCCCCTCCTGCCAGCAGCTCTCTGCAGGACTCCCACTGTCCACTGCTGCTTGGGAGCTGCCCCCTGTCCTTTAGCAATTGCACACACCTTGCTGCCAGGCAGGTACCACTGCACCAGTTCCAAAGCTGCTACACAGAGAATGTGTTTTCTCTGGGCATCGTGCCAGGACAGAGCACTAGGCTGAGCTCATCCAGAGAGAGCAAGCTTGTTCCAGGTGCACCTGAGATGCCCTCCCCACAATGACCAGGGAATCAGAGGGAAGTGACCCCCCAAGAGGGGACAGGAAGCCAGAGCTCCCAGCGAGAAGTGTAAGTTGCCCCAGTTACTGGAGAAGGCTTCTCACCATGGGGGGATCAAACTGGGCCCCAGGAGATGAGGAGGCCTTTCCCAGCCGCAGAGGGGACCCTGTGGTACAGGAGCAGGGTGCACTCAGCCAGACCACGGGGCTCAGTGCAGCTGTGGATGTGGGCACACAGACGTGTGTCTGCAAGATTTCGGGGTGTGAGATGAGTTTGTGGAATGCTCTGGCCTAATGGTAAAAAGAAAACAACCCTGAGCTGGGAAGACCAGAAAGTTGCTGGTTTCTGTTGTATTAAATCAAGAAGAGCTAAGAAGTATTGGCCCTGTGGTCACTGCTGCAGTAATCCGGGATTAGTGTGACTATGGTGGAAACTGAGAGTGCCAGATGGTCATGTTTAAAAAGCCTCTAAGGTTTATCAAACACCTTCGTCTTCTCAGCAACCCTATGGGATTAGTGCTGTTTCCATTTTTGCCATTTTACAAATAATGAGTTATGCACGGAGGAATTGGATAGCTCGCTGGGGTCTCCTGTGCACACAAGGATGGCGCTCAGAACTCGGCCTTGGCAGGTGCCCACCTCCCTGCCCCCAGCTTCTGGGAATGGTGCAGCTAAGGCACAGCGCTGCTGCCAGAGCCTGTCTGACTTTGACCCATAGGTATCCCTTCCCTCTTTCTCTGCATTGCAGTGGAAAAGATGCCACTTGATTTTCCAGGGAAAATCCCCACACCTTTGTTAGGACATTTGCCTGTGACCAAAGCCTCTTCTCCTGCTCCCCACCCAGCCTTACAAACTGTCCCACTGCCTCCTCCATCACGCTCCCCCCTCCAGCACCAGACCGCTCCTGCCCTCCCCCAGGGCTCCATCCTGGCCAAAGAAGCCAGGACCCTTTCTGCTGAAGCAGTTCTCCTGTTGCCTAATCCAGGAGATGCGCTTCTTTCCTTATCTCTCTCCATGGCTGCAGCTACTCCGCCCCCTCCCCGCACCCTATGCTCTCTGTCCTCTGGTTCCCAGGCTCTTGCTGGCTTCTTGTCCTGTAGGTTCTAAGGATTTACACCGGGACCATCTCTAGCTTTCTTGTACTCTGCACCTTTGTGCAGCATCACCTCCCCGATGCCTCCTGTGTGCTGATGGCTCCCAGTTTTGGGCCCTAGAACATGGTATCCAGACCCCCTCCCCCACCTACCCATATCCATGCCTGCTTTAGCTCTGGCCCCAGCCCACTGGAAACTGTCCTCCAGGTCCATGCACAGGCCCCTGCTCTGTCTTCTTGCCTTTGTTCTGACACCTTATAGGCCTGTTTGATGTGTGGTAGCCAGAGTTATCTTCATAAAATGTCACTTCCATCCCTTCGCTGCCTGAGCCCCTCTGAGTGGTTCCCCTGCTGCTGTGGGACAAGACTGCGTGCTGCAGTATAGTTCACAGGTTCTCAGAGCCCGGGCCCTGCCAGCCCCTGTCCTCGCGCTGCCCCTGTGTTCCCTGCACTAGCCACATCCTCTATCTGTCTGTGCTGCCATCCTCTGCGTGTGTCATGTTCCCACCTGGACTGGTGTTGTGCTGGCTCCTCAGCTCTATTTGCAGCTCACTTGTGTCAGCATCAGCAGGCCTCCAGCCTTATGGGGTCCGCTCCAGCCCCACAAGGTCCAGTGCTTCAGCTGGCCCTGAGCTGGCCCTCCCAGAGCTCATCCGAGTCCATGTGCCACTGCCCAGCCTCCTCTGCTCAAGCCCTCTCTGACGATGGCCCACCCCTGCTCCTCACTCCTCATTCTCCACATGCTCAGCACACTTCTTGACACTTACTCTACTGAGCTATCTCCCTGGCCCTACTTCATTTTGTTAATGAATAATAAGCAGTGACCAGACTTCATTGGATAGCAAGAAAGGACCTCAGGTGGATCCAGATTTTCTAGTGTGGGGAAGTTTGCACCACACTGAGGGTGGTTGGGAGCGGCCTGTTTTGGGTTGGAGAACATGTGGAGTTAGGGTGTGTCATGCTTGTTCTGAGCAGGGCCTCTAGCTAGCTCCTAGCAGCTCCTAGTTGCCAGAAGCCCCAGAGCACTGGATCCTACACAGGTGGACATCAAGAAAGGCAAGAGCTTGACAGAGCCTCGGGGCAAACCTGGGATCCAAGCCAGCATGGGGTCAGCAGTACCAGCTGGTTATTGGACCCTTTCCTAAAGCCACCACACACGTGGCGTTGTAACCAGGTCAGAGCCCAGATAGCTCATGGAGCCCCAGTGCTCTGCAGCCCTTTCCAGGAAGTTTGCTGAGCTCTGTTGGAGGGAGAAGAGCGCCATAAGGCAGCGCAGCAGGGGCATTAGGGTTCCCACCTGAAATCGTTCTCTAAAAGTCATAACGTGCTTGGGGTACAGACCTAGAGCATTGATTGGGGACAGTGTGGTCCCTGTTGTCAGGACTGGCTTTTGTAAACAGACCAGGCCCCAAAGCACAGCTCCCTCTTGGCTATGCCCTATCCTGGACCCTCCCACCAGGCCCCTGGGTTGTGTTCCCTTCTCTCTCAGTCTGAGTTCAGCCTCTCCTTGGTGCTGGGAGAATTCCGGGTTGTGTCCTGCTGCAGCCGTCTGCTGGGGCGGAGTTGCTGGGCAAGAAGGGGACACTGTGCACAGAGGAGCAGAGCGGAGAAGCTGCAGGGGACGCACAGGACAGCCCCGGGCAGCACAGAGCGGCCTGTTAGTCAGCGGGCTGTGCTCAGCCATGAGGCCTCCTGCAGGTGGGAGCAGATAGGGCTTGGCTCTCTGT